CCTGCTGGAGGAAAAGGACATCTCCAAACTGCTGCTGTACCTTGATTCTAACATCAACCGCTACAGTGCCCAAGACCTAGAGGGGCTGCCAGTTGCCAGAGATGCTGAGGAGCTGTCAGGGCTGCCTTTAGCTTTTTACCCTGGTGAGACACACAACCTGGGACCCAGGCTCCCCTTTCCCCCTGGCTCAATGGGAGTGTAGGAAGTAGCCAAAGGGAGATTAATATAGTTTGGCTGTGGTGTTGACTGACAGCTGGCCTATGTGTAGTGGCCGGATTCCCTGCTGACCAGGGGTGGACCACTCCTTCACTGTGGGGACCCTGGGCTGGGACCTGCTGGAGTCAGGTGGGAAGGCTTTCCACTCTGGGACAAGAGGCCTGTATTTGTTGTCAGGCTGTCTGAGCCAGAGCCACCAAGTGTTGAGTGCCATGGTCTGTCTTGGGGTCTGACTGACTTTACTGCCTGAGTGCTTGGGCTTATAGAATTCACTGCTCCGCCAGCGCCTCCTGACTGTTTGGTGCTCTGCACTGCCTGAGGGTCTGAGACTGACTACTCCAGCCAAATGCTGGAGGCCCTGTTGCTAATTCCCCTGTAGCGCTGGAATTGGAATTTTGTAAATAAGTCAGTTGTAATAAATGTATGTTATAGCAAAAGGTTTGAATTAAACTTAAATACAAGAGATAGGCCGCAGACAGGCCAGGCAGCTTTCTTAACTTAGCTCCAGCCCTGTCTGATGTTAGCATGTTAAAGTGAATAGTAATAGAGATGTAGCTGTGTTAGTCTAGTCTAGCTGAAACAAAAAACAGGTTTGATCTGACGAAGTGGGTCTGGCCCAAGAAAGCTCATCACCTAATAAACCATCTTGTTAGTCTTTAAAGTGCTACATAGTCCTGTTTTTTGTTTCTGTTAAAGTGAAGGGATTGACTAGTGTAATGCATGGTGATGTTAGATAAGGCCTTGTAGTAGATAGAAAGTTTAATGTTGAAAGACTTTGTAACTTTGTTAAAGTGACTAGAAGTACCTCTTTGTTCCATGCTGCAATTCTGTAAATGTGTTTTGTGTGTGAATAAGAATGTTTTTAGGAGAGAGGTGTGAAGGCCAATGCATGCTCAAATGGTCAGAGGAGGAGCCGGAGACTCAGAAGCACCAAATAATAATAAACTAAGTGAAAGCACAGTGAAGATGCAGACTACCAGGGCAGACTGACGAATCATGAAGCTAATGGCAAGCACCCCTTGATAGGGAGCCAATCAACTTTTGCTGGAAAGACAACACACAGGAGGGATTGTCAGCATACTGATATCAGATAACTGTGAGAACAACTTCCCAATAAGCATGTCAGGAAGATTGATTGTGATGCTGAATGACTGATTAAGGCCTGACAAGGCAAAATGCAGACTTGTATGGAAGGAAAATCCTATAAAAGATAGGGTGTCTTGTATGGTTCTTTGGGTTCTGTCCTGCTAAGACCAAGACCAAGAGGAACATCAGTCCAGACTGACAAGAACCTGGCTCCCTCCCTTGCATCTGACCTATCTGGTCAATAGGTTGGACTGGTAACTATTCCACAGCTGGGTAGGGGTGTGTGTGTATAAATGCCTATGCTACTTTATCACTAAATGCAGTGTGTTGCCTTATCCCCCTGAAAAAAATCCCCTGTACTTCTTTTAAGCATAACATCCCCAAATTGCATCCGTCCAGAGATCTAACGAGGGGTCAGGGCCTCCCTCTCAGAGGGATAGCTGCAACCACCCTACATAATCACAAAAGTGTATAAATTGTCACATTAATGAACCCCACAGGTTATCAGAATGTTTCAAATATACTGGAAGGCCTTTCACCTGAGTTCTAGTGAAGGGATGGAATAGGGTTCTAGAAGGATACTTCAATCTGGGTTTATACCATTTCCTCTACTGTATACACCAATACAGAATATGGCAGAGCCATCATTGTTTTCAGTAGCTTTTCTAATCATGTGTTTGATCAAAAGAACCTACTTTTCAGCTACCATACAACTCAGATGAATTTTCCTCTGACATATTGGTCACTCTATCAGATTACTGGAAATCATGGAAGCACAATGGCAAACTCTTTTGGAAGTACATTCAAAGGTAGGCTACAAACCTCAGCACTGCAAACTGGTATTGGCTGCTGTACGAGAGTTTCAGGATTCACCCAGCTTGTGCCATAACACCAAGCATGTTAAAGCCCTGTTTACAAACTCGATTTAATGGGGAGAGAGTGTGGGGCTTTGGGTATTTTTTTAAATACTAAACTAGTTTACAACTGTATTTTATAATATGGCAGCTGCATCTTCCTTCAAGTATAGCAACAGAGGGTATGACTACACTACAAAGTTAATTTGAACTAACAGACGTTAGTTCGAATTAACTTTGATAGGCGCTACACTAGCGCTCCGCTAGTTTGAACTTAATTCGAACTAGCGCAGCGCTTAGTTCAAACTAGGTAAACCTCATTGTACAAGGACTAAGCCTAGTTTGAACTTACTAGTTTGAATTAAGGGGTGTGTAGCCCCTTAATTTGAACTAGTGGGAGGCTAGCCCTCCCCAGCTTACCCTGGTGGCCACTCTGGCCAACACCAGGGCAACTCTATTGCCCCCCTCCCAGACCCCTTAAAGGGGCACGGGCTGGCTATGGTGCCCATGCCAGGTGCAAGCCTGCCAGCACCCAGCTAGCAGACCCTGCACCTGGCATGGCTCAAGCCACCCACCTGATGCCCCCCAGCCCTTCCCCTCTTCCCGGGACCAGGCTGGCGGCTCCCAGGAGCTTGCCCGGGACCGCAAGAGGCAGGCACCCGCCTGGTCTAGTGCGGACATCATAGACTTCGTCCCCGACCTCCGCACTAGGCACAGGAAAGTGGCCAGCTAGGGCAGGAGA